CTCTCTTTCCTTCTTTAGCCGGCACAGGGAGCTGTCCTGTCCCCATCCCAGCCGCAGCACGGCTGTGGCCCCCAGCGTGGCTGTAACCGCCTCCATAGACCCACCGATCTCCTGATGTCCGCCTTGGCTCACACTGGTGGGACTGGGGCAGGCTCCAGGCAGTTGCCGTGTCCAGGCCCTGAACTGCAGGGTGAGGGGAAGAAACTGCCTCCCAGTGTAGCGGAGGGGCCGAAGGTGATTGATGCCAGTCCTCACCTTTGCCTAGTCCTTCCTTCAGGCTTTTATTCACAGCAATGTGCACTTGGCACACACAGGTGAACAACCGTATGTAAAGCTGCATGGAGCCTCTGTGAGAAAACACTGATTATTTGAGCTAACTACTAACAGCCAGATCCTATCTTCAGTTAATCCTGGTATAAAAAAGCATAGTATGCACCGATACAGAGCAATGCAAATATGGACAGAAATGGGCTGATTACTTTCAAGATCATAATAGTCACATCTGGCAAAGGCATTTCTTTATTTTTTTGTAGTGCTGTGTTAAATATTCAAGATCCCTCTTGGCCACCTTACCTAGTATTTTGCATTCAGAGCTCCTCACTGACACTATGGTAAGCTTTGGTGTCAGAGTCTTCGGACAAATTCTGCTTCAGAGCAGTTAGAAGTCTGCAATAGCTGGGTTGAAATCAACACAGTTACTCTGCACTCGTGTCTCTAGAATATGGCCCTTTATTTCACAATGTCTCTCTCACCTGTACATAGGGAAACATCAGGTGTTTTTCAGTATCACAAATTAAGTTCATCAGATATCATCACAACAGATTGACTTAAAGGATTGGAGACAGTGGGCCAATCAGACATTAGTTGATAAAGGTTTCAGTATCAAATACATCTTGCTACACTGATGACATTTTTAAACAGAACAAATGGGAAATAATTCAAAGTATTTTTGCTTCTCTTAGCCATGATATAAGGGCATAAGAACCATATTCCATTTATTTTAAATTTTCTCTTTTTCCGCAATGTAGGCTGTGATCCAGCAGAGCACTTAGGAGCGTGCTTAATATTAAGATTCTGAATTCAAGACTCTGAAGTCTTGAATCAAGAGCAGAGTGAATACTCATTTCCCAGTATCAGGTGTGAATTGCTGAAAAGAATTCAATTAATAAGTAGAAGTTTTAGCTTTCAAAGTGTTTTGTAATATTCCATGCAAAGTACTGTAATAACAATTACTTGACCACTTATTTTGCAGTTATGCTCAGTAAACCTCCGTGTCTGAGGGACAGATCAATGCTGTCACTGTACCAGAAAATCCCAAATTTCCAACGGTGAGATTCACTGCACAGAAATGCATCAGTCCTTTCCTGTTAAACCTTAAGATAGCTGTGAAAAAAGATGTACAATTTTATGAAAATTCCAACTTTGGACAGTGTCCAATGCTAGCTGCTATGACAGAAAAATAAATAAATAGATTCTACATCTCTACAGTGAAGAAATCCTGTCCTTGACATAATGACATTTTGGTGACACAGAATATAATCTTCTCAAAGATAAAGTGTGCTGTTATACTTCTGCTGTCTCTTGGCTACACTCTGCTGAGTCTATTGACTTATTTGTAACATAAAATATTGGAGATGTTCATGTTTGCTAAATAGCTGCCTCACTTGCCTCATGGGTGGCTGCATCTTAGTGGAGCGTAGCAGTATCTCTTTCCTTCCTCAGCACCGCGTGCAAGACTTTACATGAGATGCTTGGAGATCCTCAGCTGACAGATGTCAGGAATGATTAGTCTGATTATCTGTGGTAGTTCTGTGACCACCTCAAAACAGCCCTGCTCATTCCCCTTATCAAATTGAAACTAAAGTAAGGAGGTGTGTTACAAACAAATCAGTATTTACAAGGGTCCAGAACCCTTTTCCCTCAGAAGAAAGGCCTGGAATAACTTGCATAATCATCAAATGAAAGACCAAGACAACCATAAGCAGACATACATATGTAATACGTACAGTGGCCATAGACACATTTGCACCTTGAAGGAAATCATTACAATTTAGACTGCAGGAAACAAATGATCAAATTCCCAAACTATGTAGTGCTAGGTGTCTCTACCTAACTTACTAGTAAAAATAGAAGGAAATTTCAAACGTGGATTGAATGAGACTGTGCAGCAAACATGATTTTTTTCATTCTATTTGGTGCAAGAAATGCAGAATCATTCTTATACTCTGCATTACATGTTGGGGAAAGAAAAATATCTGAGTAGTTTTTGTTTTGTTGTGCATCTTTTCTCTCACTCTCTTCAGCTTTTCTAATGTAACCACCAGCATTAAAGTACTGAGCTGAAGTACAGGCTTGAATTTAGTAAGTAGAAAATCCCAAGCCTCTCTGTAGGGATTATGCAATTCCTACTTTCAAAGCAGGCTGAGATAAAGCAGTGTAAAGAAAGCCCTGAATCTGCCTAAATTCTCTCCATCTGGTTTTCAGTCTGGATTCTTGCAAGTTTGTGGAGTACTTCTAAGATATCTCCAAAAAGTATCCAAGAAAAATAAGCCCATTACCAGTAAGCTTAAATTCACTACGGAGGAGCCAGAACCTCTGTAAGAAAACTATTTTGGGGGGGGGAGGGCACAAATTTTAGAAGTCAAAAACCATTGCTGTGCATTACAAAATGTATGGTGATACAGCTGTTCTAGGAACAAGAGCAGTGAATTACTGGTCCAAGTTTGCCGTTAAAGAGGCAAAACAATTCTGAATCAGACCTTCAGTGAGTCTGCAGGGACTTGACAAATTCAAGGTATGTAGTGATGTGTGAAAATAAGCTAGCATAGGAGGCTACAAACTTCTACAAGTCAGTTGGCCTATACGGAGTATATGAGACTCCCTCATATGCCATCTACAGGCACCTGCAAACACTACATTAGGCTGGTTGTATTAATTATTGACTTACGCAAGAGACAAAGAATAAACTCGGGGAAGAAATAGAGATGAAGATTACAGTAGCATCAGCAGCTGTTTGTTCCTGTCATTGTTTCCTGTGCTAATGTTCCTGCTCACTAAAATTAGGATGTTGGCTAAAATTGGGCTTTTGAAATGACTGAAATTATTAACAGGACTCTGCCAAAAGTGTGTGCCCTGCGTTTATATAACAATGACCGAGCTGCTTGCAATTCCATTATTAAAAAAGAAAAATCAGAGGGCAGTATGTTGGCTTTCCTAACTGCTCTTCTGTTGTCCAATGTAGGGAATGCCAAGGGTCTACTCAGTAGCGTGTATACAGCGGTCCCAACTTGGGGGCCATTTCAGAACATGCAGATCACTTCTGTTGATTTGTCTAAAGCCTTGTTCAGTGAACACACCATCTGGTAGTTGCTACAGTATTGTGGCTCCTGCAGCATCCACACTCCTGGGGTCCTTCAGGCCGATGATGAAGCTGTTGGTTCTCCTGGCCCCATGAACGAGGGAGACCACTTTGACTTTATCCACTTGATGGCCCCTGGCCACAAGAAATTCAATATCTTCTTGAGAAAATTCACCTGTAGGGATTTTAAAAGAGGAGTTTGTAACCAAAATCACCATTGTCTGGGATACAAAGTTCTCTCTTAACCCCTTTGAGATCTCCAATGTGAAGGAAACTGCCTGCAGATGTTTCAGAAGGTGTCCCAGACAGGGTGAGCCAAATGGCTGAAGAGAATTAGCAATGACTAGCTCTGATGAGAGTACATGCAGGTTTCAACAGCAAAGAAAGTAATCATAACTGTGTTCAGAGGTGAGCAGTAGGGGTAATAAGGGGATCCAGATGATCACTTAAAGATGTGGAAGATCCTCCTCTTTGGAAAAGGGGGAAAATATGTTGTTGGCATCTATTTTCGTTTTTCTGTTTACAGAACTGAAGGCAGTCCCTGCTCTAAAGAGCTTAGTTACAAAAAAATAGTATTAATAATCATTAATCAAAGGAAGGCGCAAGGCAGCTCAAAAGAAATGATAAAGTTGCCAAACAATAAACTTTGTGAATTAAAATGCGATATGCCTCCCAACTTCCCCTTCATCTAATTCTCATTCTTCCAGCCATCTACCTTAGATTTCCTGCTAAATACCCTAGATTTCCTTAGGATTTTCCTACCAAGAAAATCCTGCTACTTTTCTAAACATGCTAGATTTGTAGGCTACCCCCCCACACACACCCAATTTCCATACTCACTGTTTTTTTTTAATTTGGTGTTTTATAATTTCCATATGAATAGAATTCTGAGGGTACGAAACCAGGGGATGCCCCTGAACAAACCATTCAGACTCACAAAAATTCCCATAGTAATTTAAGCTATACATTTTGTAGATATATCTTAACATATGTCCTATTGATGCCAAATGTCCAAACACACAAATTAGGACCTACAAATGCTTTTGAAGCTTTGAATTTGTTTTAATTACTATTTAATTAAACTAATTAATTAGTTTTAATTTAATTCTAATTCAGACGCCTGTGGGTCACACTCCACATACGTTTTTAGGTTTTCCTCTGAAATGGCAAGGCCTAGAAATTTGGCTATTTTATCTGAAATGATAACCAAATTTCAGTTCTGGTTGCACTCTGCTAAAATATGGTGCTTCGTGAAAAACACCAAATAGCCCAAGACTTCTAACAACAAGGACAAGAGCTGGCAGTTCACTCTCCAGAGTGTCGGCATTGATGTGGATTTCCAGCAAGGCCAAGTGAAAAGCCACGTCATAAGCCTTGCCTTCAACGGCTGGGTGGCATTAGAGACGGGGGATGGAAAGTGAAAGGAAAAGCATGTACAGCAATGGTAGTACCTGGATCTCACGCTTGCCTGCTTGCTGTATATAAAGATCTGCCTGCTTTCAGGACCTGTCTGGGTAAAGACGTCGGCATGATCTTGTTTATTTGGATATTCTCAGTGAACATAGTGTCAAATCACCAAAAGGTTTTAAGGACAAAACAGCTACCAAGAGGTGGGCTGGTGCAGCAGGGTGGTTGGGGAGAAGCAGTTTTTTGTCTGCCCCAAAACCCTCTGCACCCACTGGGGACTCTAGAAGATGATGAGCTGTGTGCTGGGCTATACCACACTTAGACAGCCGTGTGCTAAGAAAATCCTGCTACTTTTCTAAACATGCCAGATTTGTAGGCTAACCCATGCCCAATTTCCATACTCACTGTCAACTTGCAAGGTGTTGGATTGAAGCTGGGGATGAAGTCGACCAAGTGACAAACTTTCGCTCAGATTCTTGTTAAATGTTAAAACATTTACTAAAACCTGCAAGAGAATAAAAGATGCCCAATAATAACAAAGTGATGAGTATGAGACACAAAATTCCTGAGCATCTCCTAATTGGTGGCTCCAACATCTGCAGATGCAACAGGCAAAGAAAAATCGAATGGTTTACCAAACTGCATGAACTAAACGCAGGGCTTCACACACACAAAGAGACCCTTGAAATACTGCCTTTATATTGTTCTTGGAAAAAATGGTACCTTTTCAGGACTGTATGGGCTTTTTGTTACATA